GTATCACACCTCACTGCACACACACACTGGTACAGCACTGTATCACACCTCACTGCACACACACACTGGTACAGCACTGTATCACACCGCAGTGCACACACATACACTGGTACAGCACTGTATCACACCGCACTGCACACACACACACACACACACACTGCTACAGCACCGCATCACACCTCACTGCACACACAGACACTGCTACAGCACCTGTAGCAGACTGTCTCCGTCTCTTACCACTCCAGTTCTTGGCCATCTTGAACATGTTGGCAGCGCGTGCGTACATCTCGCATGCCTCCTCAACCTTCGATGAGCCCCTGGACACCCAGCCAGGAACAGAGGGAGGGACACAGGCAAGGTCAGAGCCTACTACTTTACATAGATGTAAAAACAAATGTTTTAGAGCAAGTTCCTTCCCGTCATCAGTCTGATTCCCTAACGCATTAACACTGCATAGTTCTGACAAACAAAACTGAGCCAACAGGGATCTAAAGTACCCAGGTAACATCTTTCCAAATGCTACTGCAGTTAGTGAATTATATTTTACTGAAGGAAATGATCTGAATTTGTTCCTGTCCAGTGGATCAACGGACAGGTGGAAACACGAGCAGAGCCACTCTGTGGGCGGAGACTGAGGAAAGACGTTCTTCCCTGCTGGGGAGAGCGAGAGGTGGCTTAGTTCCCAAGCTAAAGGGGAACTGAAATATACGATTTTAGATTTCGGGTTAGGAAAAAAACAGCATTGATGGGTGCATTTCAAACCACAATAACAGTCAAACGTGCACAGTAACTTGTCAAGCCTCCAAGTTACATCACATAGTTGCTGAAATTCCCAGGTGTGTTCTGTGATTGAGAAAGAGGCAACAAAACTACCGGTGACGTGTTGTGGCCCTATTACATCACAAAACAAGCCGGCTTTTAATCCACTGTGTTTTTCACATTGCAGAAACACACCTGAAGAAGGCACACAACATTTCTGCAGTGGTCTCTTTTTTTTTCTCTCCTTTCAACACAGAATAAACCTTAACCTGTTCCTTTGTAAATAAATCTCTTTTAATCCAGCAGAAATGTTGCTTCAGGTTTTGAAACGTTTTACAGACAAATACCACTTACTTGTTTACTCTTGCATACAGATCATTTCTGTGGTGAAATGTCTGCTGCACAATCGGTTCCTATCCGCTCACTAGTCAGTATGGAGACTAGTGAGCAGGAAGGGTCGCATCGCGTCGCAACTCGGATGTTTGAGTTCACGACAACATGGTGACTTACAGTACTTGTGCTTAATTCAGATTTGTCTTTTTTTTTCCTATATGGTCAATGAATCATTTTGTTACCAAGTTGTAATAACCGGTCTGAGAAACTGGGACTGCAGTTTCCCTTTAAGATACGCACCTCTACCTCTGAATAAACTTCACCCAGATGCTGATTCTCCAGAAGCACAAGAGGGGGTCTTGCCTGCCTGCCTGCCTGCACACACCTGCATGTTTCCCTCCTCTTCTGCAATTTCCGGGATCAATAAAGTATCTATCTACCCATCTATCTTATTGTCACAGTACAAAATTCACACACAGAGCTGCCCCCCAACACACACTCACTGTCCTGCTGGGCTCCATTTCTGCTACAACACAGCATCTCAGCTTAGATGCTGTGATAAGATTCTCTATCGTCTACTGTAATTATTAATTATCAGTACAACAACAGGATTGTTCAGTAGAACAGTCCTGTTACAGTAGGAGCTACAGTCCCAGTACAGTAGAACAGTCCTGTTACAGTAGGGGCTACAGTCCCAGTACAGTAGAACAGTCCTGTTACAATAGGAGCTACAGTCCCAGTGCAGTAGAACAGTCCTGTTACAGTAGGAGCTACAGTCCCAGTGCAGTAGAACAGTCCTGTTACAATAGGAGCTACTGTCCCAGTACAGTGGGACAGCCCTGTTACAACTGGTCCCTACACGACAGTTCAGGTAGAGGACACTCTGAATGTTCTGTGTTGCGGTGGAAGACAGACCGGCGCTCCTCACTGGGTCAGACCATGCGGACCCGGTGTCAGAGTACTTTGTTTACAGTCTGGTGTCGTGTGATCAGCTGACTCGACGACACATGTGACCGCGGAGCTCGGAACCGCAGCTCCCAGACCTGCGTCCCCCCCCGAACTCGGCAGAACAATCGACCCAGGAAGGAACAGGCTGGCAAATCGATGATCAAGCAACTTTTCAGCCCGTAGCTCAACGGTGCTGTACAACTTTTCTAAAAAAAAAAGTTAAAAATGTATTTATCGATGGTGTCCTTTTATTTCGCATGGAGGTCGATATCGTTATGCCACATGACCAGGAGCGTTCCCAAGCATACATGACAGCCTTTTACGGCCAGGCCTCTGCTTCTGTACCGTCAGCCGCACGCCCTCGGATTTTCCTAACGAGCTTAGACCGTCTACGAGCTCTCCTTCCCCGGCAGCCAAACCGATCGCGACCCCGCTCCGCCGCCACCTGCCACTCACCCAAACAACGTCCCGAAGAAAGACTGCGACGATTTGATTTTTCTTTCGGCCTCTGCCATGAGGGCCAGTGCTTCCTTTTCTTTCCCGGAATTGTCCATGATTGCGTCCGCGCTGACAGTGCGCTTTGCTTCGGTTACACTGCGGCGCCTGTGGGCTTCGCTCCGGTCTGCGCCTGACGCCTGACACATCTCGCTGAAGCCGCGGGCCGGCGCCCGTGTCACGTGGGAGGGGCGCAGCAAAGGCACGCGCCGGGCCCGCCTGCCAGAGACCGTGAAGCACAACACTGCAGCGCTGTCGACGTGTAATAATAATAATTGCTTACACTTATATAGCGCTTTTCTAGACACTCCACTCAAAGCGCTTTACAGGTAATGGGGACTCCCCTCCACCACCAGCAGTGTGCAGCCCCACCTGGATGATGCGACGGCAGCCATAGTGCGCCAGAATGCTCACCACACACCAGGTATCCGTGGGGAGGAGAGCAGAGTAATGAAGAGGGGGATTGTTAGGAGGCCATTATTGATAAAGGCCGATGGGAAATTTGGCCAGGATGCCGGGGTTACACCCCTACTCTTTTCAAGAAACACCCTGTGATTTTTAATGACCACAGAGAGTCAGGACCTCGGTTTTACGTCTCATCCGAAGGACGGCGCCTGTTTACAGTACAGTGTCCCCGTCACTATACTGGGGCATTAGGACCCACATGGACCGCAGGGTGAGCGCCCCCTGCTGGTCCCACTAACACCTCTTCCAGCAGCAACCTTAGTGTTTCCCAGGAGGTCTCCCCTCCAGGTACTGACCAGGCTCACACCTGCTGAGCTCCAGTGGGTTGCCAGTTGTGAGTTGCAGGGTGCCACTGGCAAGCTTTCGACAATCTCCACGATATGCCATCATCTCAGTAGAGTGAAAGCAAGAGTATTGTAGAAGTATGATACAAAGGGAGCAAGCCATAGGTTTATTCCAGGCTGGAAAGAGAAGAAAGACGACGTTTCGGCTGTGGAGCCTTCTTCGGGTGAAACGTTTTCCCTCTTCTCTCTTCAGCTTGGAATAAACCTATTACTTGTTCCTTTTGAGCCTAGGCTTGCGGACGCCACCTCCCCACCTGAACTACTTCTGTACAACAGAAAAGTGCATGTACACACTAATAGTCCAAAATTAGTGGACTAATTCTGCAGTGTTGACAGGTGTCTGCAAACAGGTGTATGGGAGACCGATTGCATGGCTTGACGTGTTGTTTCCTACATTGTGTATGTGTGTGTGTGTGTGTGTCAAATGTGTGTTCCTGGGAATGTTACCGCAACAGGTCCCTAAGAGGACAGCACAGAGAGTCAGTTTCCATCCCCCGTCTCGAACAGCTTCAGGTGGGTAACAGGACCAGCCCTCCAGCCTCGAGCTCAGGATTCCTATACCGGACAGCGCTTCCGTGCGGCGGATGCCGTTACTATGGTAACCAGTCCGATCCCAGTGAATCTTCGATCTCGTGTTTTTTAGAAACGAACAACCAGCAGGCACTAGGGAACCTTTAAAAATGTTTTTTCAATGATTTTTTTTTAAAATTACAATTCAAAATCCCGTCAAATGCCCTTAATAAAAGACAAGGACGCCCGTTAACCCGTTCAGTTTTTATTTAGTAACGTATTCAACAAACCTTGAAGCGAAGTTCCACAGCTCGACAGAATGAGAAAAATCAGACAGTTCAAACTGGCCAAATTTAGACAAAGGAATTACAGTAGTTACAGCCAAACAACGCTTTAAGGGAAATTTCGACAGGAATGCCTTTGAGCACTGCAGCGAGGTCCACCGTCGGGTGGAGGCTGGTATCTGGTATCCGCAGATACCGGTTTAACAACCGGTCTGGTCTCTCGCCGCTGTGCGCAGCTCGGACGCGCAATCGTGCGTTTCGGCACCGCGGGGCTGCTCCAGCCTTCCGGCGAGAGGACGAGAATTTCGTCCCCCGGTTTTTTGATTTTCAAAGTGTGGAATCCGCAGACGCTTCCCGCTGCGCATGGGGGACGGTCCCTAAACCGTGCGTCCCCTTTCGCCCTCCGTTTTCCGGGCGGTGCGGCACTTTGCAGCATGACCCTGGATATGAAAGAATCATTTCCCGTCGGAAGGTGGGCCGCGGGCTGGGGTTCGGCTATGTGTGACTTCCGAACGAGCGTCTGCGCCCGCCTTCCGTTTCATTCCCCGGTAACCGTGGTGCCCCGAGCCGGCGGCAGGATCCCCTAGCGACCGGGTGAGTGTTGCGGGCTGTCCAGTCCGGCGCAGGCCGGCGGCGCGCCGGGTGTCGACGTTACCTGACCACTGGTCTAAGTAAACTGTTACTCGAGTCATGTGTCATTGCAGAGGGAGGAGGAGGAGTAGGGGGGGTAGCGACGGCTTAAGTCGCGACTTACACAGCCCGGGAAACGCAGGACTCGACCTGAGCGTTTACACACACACACAAAACAACAACAACAACAACAAACACGGGCCACGAATCCGCGAAATCTCAGCCCGCGTCAGTGCGGTGACGTTGGCACCCACTGCCCGCTGGCCAGTCTGTCCTGCTGCGGCTACACGACCCGGATTCATCACTCCGTCAAGCCCGTTCCTGGTTGCTCTGTGTCCTGGGCATATCCGTGGCCTCGTTTTTCAGCCTTTGTAGTCACTGCGTGTCGCCTATTTTGTAGCGCTCTTCATGGTCAGGCTTGTTGGTCTCCTTCGTTGTCAGCTGCTTGCTGGCGCTCCAGCTGACACGGGTGCGAGAGGCGCTGCAGTGCGCTGTACCACCGCTAGAGGGCAGCAGTACAGAACAGGGGCTTGGGGCTCTGGACTCCGGAGGGCGGTGGGTCCAGCTCCCGGGTGTGACGAGTTACTCGGCTCGTCTGGCTCCAGTAAATGACTTTCAGTGTCAAAGATATTTTCCAGGTGGGTCACAGCGTGTTGGTTTACCTGCTGCTGGAGAGTGTACAGCAGTATTCACGATAGGCTCCGATTGATATTTCTTCCGGAAGAGTGTTTTGGGAGTAAATAGTGGTAAAAGCAGGGTGAGGTGTCAAATACAGTGAAATCATGTAGAAGCACTGTAAAGAGTAGTAGTAGTGGTGTATGGTAAAACCGTGGTACAAGTAAAGTGTTATGAAGCAGGGAAGTCATGGTAAAAGCACAGTGAAGTGTAATGAAGCACTGAAATCATGGTAAGAGAACTCTCGAGCACAGTGAAATCACGGTGCAAGAAGAGTAAAGCCAGTGTCAAATCCTGAGCCAGCAGATGATCACAGTACATCTTCGTAACAGGCAGGGGTGTGGAAAGTGTTGTGGGAGCAGCACAGGAGGGAATTGTGTGATAACGGGGGGCCCTTCCAGGTGAGGGTGGGGGTTACCCCACACTTGCAGTGCATCGTGGCCCTGCTGATGTGGCAGGGGGGAAGCGAACAGGTGTAACGTGATCACGTTCATCAGATAAGACAAGCTGCCCAGCCTGTTCTTTATCGAACGCGAGAATCTCGAACTTCAAGAATCCCCACGTCGCCAGCCGACCGTCTTGTGTCTCCTCAGCCTCCAGGAGCCCTCTCCCCCTGCTCCCCATGGAGTTTCCGGGCTATTCCCTGCCCTCGGGCCTGGGGCCGCCCCTGAAGCGGCGCGGAGAGAGGGGCGCGGGGGGGCCTCTGGGGCGGCCGCTGTACTGCGCCTCGGTGGACCGCCGCAAGTCCAAGGTGTGGAACTACTACACGCAGCTGAGCGAGAGCCACGTGGAGTGCAACGTCTGCAAGAAGCAGCTGTCCTTCCACAACAGCACCACCACCATGAGGGAGCACCTGGTCCGCAAGCACAGCATCCGCGACAACGGCCCCGCCCCCGCCCCCGCCCCCGCCCCCCCAGAAGAGCTACACCGGCCTGCTGTACCTGAAGAAGCGCAAGCAGCACTACGTCACCTACGCCTGCGCCTTCTGCGAGAAGATCTTCCGCACCAAGGGCCACTTCCAGCAGCACGAGCGCACGCACACGGGCGAGCGGCCCTACACCTGCCCGCTGTGCGGCAAGAGCTTCACCCGCAACACCATCCTCAAGGACCACCAGCGGCGGCACCGCGGCGAGCGCCCCTTCGCCTGCGACACCTGCGGCAAGAGCTTCGTGGTCAAGAAGTACCTGCAGCAGCACCGGCTGGTGCACGCCGACCGCGCGGCGGGCCTGGCGCGGCGGAAGCACGCCTGCCCCGTGTGCCAGAAGAGCTTCCGGGTGCGCTCCGTGCTCAAGGAGCACCAGCGCATCCACACGGGCGAGCGGCCCTTCGGCTGCCCGCGCTGCGGCAAGGGCTTCATCTCCCGCAACGCGCTGAAGCGGCACGCCCGCACGCACGCCGGCGGCGACGCCCACACCTGCCCCGTGTGCCAGAAGAGCTTCGCCTGCCGCCGCTCGGTGAAGATCCACCAGCGCGTGCACTCCGGCGCGCGCTCCTTCAGCTGCCCCGTCTGCCGCCGCGACTTCCGCCTGGAGCTCAACATGAAGCGCCACCTGCAGACGCACCAGCCGGGGGCGCCGC